TGCCTGTAGGGATGGAAACTCAAAAGTTGTCCATTAGAAAGTACAGTCCATCGGGGAAGGTTTCGAATTCGTTGGGGTTATTTGTCCCGATGTGCATTACTTTACATTTGTGCTACATTTGTGTCACCATCTGTGCTATGAACGTATGCCTTAACTTGGACCATCTCAGTGCAATTGTGGCACATCTTATCTCTTAATCATATGCTAGGAGATGAAAACCCCAAACAAAAAGATACAGGTTGAAGACAGTAACTCAATACTAAATCCGCAGCTGCAAAAGAGAAACACTAGGGCTGTGTCTACACTCGCGGCTTCTTGCACAAGAAATATGCAAATGAGGCTAAGTGTGGAATATCGCAGCGCCTCATTTGCATACATAACGAGCTGCCTTTTTTTGCGGAAGAGGCTCTTGCGCCAGAAGGAGCTGGCTACCCGGCCCCTTCTTGCGCAACAAAAACCCTCTTGCGCAATTCCGCTACGCTGATTATTTTCAGAAATAACGACATTGCGCAAGAGGGTCTACGCTGGCAGCTTCTTGCACAAGAATTCTTTTGCGGAAGAGTTCTTGTGCAAAAACTCTTCCAGATGAGAGTGTCCACATTGGCATGTGCTTTTGCGCAAGAGCATCCATGGCGTGTGGACGCTCCCTTGCACAAGAAAGCGCCGATGGCCATTTTAACCATAGAGGCTTCTTGCGCAAGAAATCCATGTTGCCTGTCTACACTGCCCTCTTGTGGAAGAGCTCTTGCTCAAGAGGGCTTATTCCTCGTGGGGAGAGGAATAACTCTTCTGGAAGAAGCCTTGTTTTACTACACTGGCATGATTTTCCAGAAATGCTTTTAACTGAAAAGTTTTCCGTTAAAAGCATTTTCGGAAAAGTGCGTCTAGATTGGCAGGATGCTTTTCCGCAAAAGCACTTTCTGCGGAAAAGCATCCGTGGCCAATCTAGATGCACTTTTCCGCAAAAAAGCCCCGATGGCCATTTTCGCGATCGGGGCTTTTTTGCGGAAAACAGTACTGTGCTGTCTACACTGGCCCTTTTGCGCAAAAGTTTTTTGGAAAAAGACTTTTGCCCGAACGGGAGCAGCACAGTATTTCCGGAAAAGCAGTGACAATCTTACATGAGATCGTCAGTGCTCTTCCGGAAATTCAAGTGGCCAGTGTAGACAGCTGGCAAGTTTTTCTGCAAAATCATTTGATTTTGCAGAAAAACTTGCCAGTCTAGACACAGCCTAAATTTACTTCTGGAAGAACGCTCGTGCAGTGTCGACAGCTGACACTGTGGTCCCAACTCCACAGCCAGCCCC